CTAGTGCATTTTCCATACTAATATTGATCCTATCCCAAATTTCAACGCTTGCGTTAGGTGGCCTGTATAAATTACAGAGTAAATACGTTTTAAATTCCGTTTTAATTTCCAGCCAAATAGATTCAGGTAAAATAACTTCTAATTCTAAAATTCTTTTTGAGTAAATGCCAGAGGACACGTAAATTAAAAGACCACCAGAATGGGCGGTATTATCTTTGCGATACATCTTATCGAAACCATCTAGATGTAAGGAGTCGTTTGGAATATCAAATGACAATTTACTTTCTGTAAAACAGACAATATCATAATCAAGAAAATTTGTCTTAATATAATCAAACTTATTTCTTATGCTACGGATATTTTGATGAAAAACAGATAAACACGAATCAAATGTATTTGGTCCCGGATTTTTCTCTACATCGCCGGATAAAATTAACAACATTTCAACTATTAATAAGAAGTATGAAAGAAATAGTACGTCAGTAACTTCTGAAAATATTCCAATAGTATTGATATTATAAACACTACACACTACTAATGCAATTGCTAGCGAGAAATAATAATCAACAATACCGTAATACAAAAACATCAAAAGCGTATGATAAATTTTCGACATCGAACTTATACCTTTAATAAACAAGCCAGCCATTATTTGAGTAACTTTAAATTCACTCCTATATTTAATACGTATGTGCTGTCTTCGTACATTAAAGAGTCCATTGTTTATGGTTTGTACATCCAGTGATTTTTCTCGCTTAATTGGGAAGAAGCCTTAGCCTCTTGATTTTGGGAAAAATTATCTAATTTGGGAAGAAAAAAGCATGTTTCATTTCAGATTTTTGGGAAAACTGCATGATTTTAAAGAAAATTTCAATTGGGAAGAGGCCCTTTTTCGGAGTCTGTTATATAAGTAGGAAAATCACTGACATCATCTATATCATGTCATTTTATAAAAATAAAAAACAGTTTTGACAAAGATTAAACTACTTCCGCTTTTAACGTACATGTACTGTTCATAGACGATAAAACAATATTTTTATAATAGCATATGAACATATTTGATCGTCACAGCAAGCAGGCATGCATTGTACATGTACTTATGTTTATTGAAAAAGACCGCCATGCCTTTAAAAAATCACTGCCAATCTCAATGTTCTTGTTTTATAATTCATGGTTTTATTTTTGAGACGACGCAGCGCCTGTTGTTTTCCCCCTGCAAACATCGGTAGAATTTCATAAATGAATTCCTTAATGTTGTCCTTTCTTGTGCTGCCAACATCGGTAGAATTGCCTAGCAGATCGAACTTCTTAACTCTGTTCTATATTGTTCTGAAAGCAATAGTAAAATAAATTTAAACATTAATGTTAAAAGCAGGACTGTACATGCCGACATAGGGTGTCGCTGTTTTGGCTAGTGCATTGTATGGAATGATGTATTATATCTCGTATTTTACGGATTTTTTATCAACCAACAAATAAAAGGAGACGTACATGTACTTCACATGGAAATCCGTTTGGTAACATTTATGTAACTGGTACAAATTTATCTAAAAGCCTGACTTAAAAGTATAAAATTACCTTTTTCAGAAGTTTACTTTCCAAGGCAGATGCATTTCACTGAAGAATACTTTGTAAACTGTCTTAAAGAAAATGTTTTTTTTTTTATTCAGTTCTGGTACAAAGTATAATTTCCCTTACGATAGTATGTCAATGGAATGAATCGACCTAAGCACGTGGTTGTTTTGCCATGTATTTCCTTTTTTTTTTCTTCTTCTTTTTTTGCTTACATAATAATTATAAATTTGTATAAACAATGCAAAAAAGAAGCTCATCTATATTTTCTTATTTTAGAATACTAAATTAAATAGGTTTTTGACACTGCGCGTTACGGGAATTGCGGGAAATCATCGGTTATTCTTTCCTTTAATTAATTAATGAACTTTCGTTTTCACTTGTGATACCTTACATGTACATGTATATCATAAAGGGTTTATTTAGTTTTTTTTTTTTTTTTTTTTTTTTTTGGAAAAAACAAATATTTTTTGTCAAAACGATTTGAACTCTATTCTCTATTGTATAAAACTAATAAAGAAAATGATCAATCGTAAAAACGTGGAGATTTATCTATCATACTGAAGGGAAACAAGTGTGCACATTTCATTTCCCCCATTTATCGCAGAGAATTCATTCGTTTGCTTTATAGACAAGTAAATGCACTAAAATACTTCGTTACGTGGTACCAATTAATAAGCATGTATCAACTATGTTACACGATCAAAATACGATGCGCTATCTGTAGATCAGCACGTGACAAGGTTAATGATAATATGCATGGGCTATTTTTAGATTACCTCACCAAGAAGTTGAATTGCGTTCAGTAGATCTAAATATAACTCGATCATGCGTGATTTCACTGATTTGGTAAGCAGGACCACCCTTTGAAGACGGAATACTACTACAGTCACCATTCTCTATTGCATAAAACTAATACAGACAAAAAAAAAACAATTATAAAAGAAACTTACTTTTGCATCTTGAAAAACAATTGAAACGGAACAATTTCGTTTATAATTTATTACGGTTTAAACCGATAAATCGAGTAAAAATAGAAATCCTATTTATATAAACAAACTGGGATTACCGAAGTAACTAAAATAGCTTAGATTTCTGTAATATTACTTCGTCTGATTCCGCAGTATGACGGAATCGCCCGAATTGTCAGGATTGCAATCGGAACTACATCGGCTATTATCATTAATCCGAAGAGTGACGGAAAAGGCCGAAAAGTTGCGATTGGCACGATTGCAGCTGGTTTCCCGTTCAATCATGCGCCAACAGATGTAAGCAGGAAACCACCTAACGGGAACAAGTTTTCCAAATGAAATGGCTTGCTGCAAGCCAAAAAGGATTGGAGCACCTCACTAAATACTGTATTCCGGTATAAACCGGGCAAGGCGCTTGAATCATAAAATGCTAAAATCTTGAATTTTTACCCAACGGAATGAACTTGAATAGGTCTAATTCATCTTTTCATACCGATTTATGTATGATAATGAATGAAAAATGTAAAAATCGTTGAAAAAAATGATATTTGTCTATTTTGTGATCATGGTTTCTGCAAGCGTCTAGAGGTACTGCTTCAATCCTGTATTGAGTTAAATCCAAAAATTATTATCAAAATTTCTGGGCTTCCTTGTATAATGTAAGCCGTGTACATGTATAATGTAAGCCGTGTCATAAAAAACAGTAAAGAGTGACTTTTGAAGTGCATATATGATACTTAACATTTTTACATTTAAACAAGAGTTTAAACAAAACAAAACTAGCTGCATGGTCAACTCGGCCCAATACCATATCGATGCGGGTCAACTCGGCCCATAATTATATATTATTACGAGTAATAATTGCTTTTATGTCTTTTCATAATTAGTATATACTCTAACACATTATGTAGGCTAATTGTGTTAAGCCATTCAGTGTTTTGTTTGAAAGAGTTTTAGACAGGAGGGCAGGCTCAGCAGGGGCCCAAGGTCCAATTAACAAGAATTTTATGACCTATGGTACATTTATCTTCAAACAAGTTGTTTTTTCCTTCATCTTTTGAAGAGTTTGGAGAGCTATTGTAATTTGTTCTCACCCATGTGAAAGTTTTGCATGCAGTATCGGTCTTCAATATTGCTATTTAAGGTATTCACTTGAAACTTAATACATGTCTCCAGGATGATAACTGGAGGTCACTTTCCAAGGCTCATCACTTAAATATGCATTTTGATGGAATTATTTTATGCCAGTTTGAAAAATGGGTCGTTTTATAGTTTCCCTCCTGGCGGGCTGGTGGGTGGGTTGTAGGCATCCACAATTTTGTCCTGAGCGTATCTCCTATAAGCATTGAGGAATTTTATTGACACTTCATAGAAATGTTCACCACAATGAGAAGCTGTGTTGTGCACATGAACCAGGTCTCTAGGTCAAAGATCAAGGTCACACTTGGAGGTCATTGAAAAACGCTTGTCCGGAGCAAACTTCTACATACATAGAGAGATTTCAATATAACTGTGCACAAATGTTCACCATTGCAAGGCGGAGTGTCACATGCAAAATTTAGGTCCCTGTGGCCAAGGTCAAGGTCACACATAGGGGTCAAAGTTCAGATAAAAATATGAAAATTTGTATGCGGACCCAGAGTGTCCATTTGACCCTTGAATGACTCTGACCCTTCAAATTTCCAAAAAGCCTGATTTGACCCTCAGGATTTTAACTGGAGGGTCAAATTTTGTTAAAATCATGGGGATTGGGCCTTGAAGTCAGTAAAACTTAGTTAAAATGACCCTCAGGATTTCATGGCTAGTGAACACCCTGGCCGACCATTTAGTCAACATTTATTGAGGGATTGAAACACAAATGGTCATTATCAATTTATCATGACTATCATTGTGAAGGTAAGTTTTGTGCACATAATCCAGGTCCCTGCTACCAAAGTCAAGGTCACTTATAGAGGTCAAAGTTTGTGTCCAAGGACCATTTAGTCATCATTTATTGATGGATTGTAACAAAAATGATAAATATCATGACTATTATTGTGACACATAATTTAGTTAATATTTTAGAGGTCATGGTCACTACTGACTAGAGATGATAAAATATCCAGATATTGTCCGGATGTCGCCCGAGCATATCTCCTAGTCCTTAAGTGCAAATGTGTAATTTGTTGCTAATCAATATAAAATTATCAGGAAATGGACATAAACCAACAGGAGAGCTGAGACTGTGAAACAGACAGGAGAGCTGAGACTGTGAAACAGACAGGAGAGCTGAGACTGTGAAACAGACAGGAGAGCTGAGACTGTGAAACAGACAGGAGAGCTGAGACTGTGAAACAGACAGGAGAGCTGAGACTGTCCTGAATTTTGACACAAAATTTTCACTTTTTTTTTTTTTTGGACTAAGGTTTGTTGATAAAATGCATATTTTATAATTTGGAGGTTTTCTTATCATTTCAGTGACATGAATACCAGTTTGTTTGTTAAAGTGCTACCAAAACAATGGCCAATTGTTTATTGTCCAGAATATAACATTGGCTTCCTAGGGCTGGAAAGACTTCATCCTTTTGATGCTGGAAAGTGGGGAAAAGTGTATGGATTCCTAAAAGGTAAAGTGCTTTTTTCTTACTTCATATTCTGCTCTATAATGTACCCATTAATTTGATTATACATGTAATATGACATTTTATTTTGATGTGTTCAAGTAGTTCTGGACTTTAACTGAACTCATTGGAACAAAGCAACCTGCTAGCCAAAAAGAGGTTGGTGATTTGAGCAAGGTGCTTTAGATAGTATTCGTTACTTAAAATTCAACAGCAAAGTTTATCCAAATTAGATTGATAAAGGTTAAAAAAAGAACTGTTCCATATCGTTTGTTTTTGAATAGAGAAATATTTATAAAAAAAAGTCGATTCAAACAATTTCAAAGGTACATGTGAAACTTGCAAAACACTTGCTTATGATATCATTAAAAGAGGCAGTTGTTAGACAAGGGGCATAATTCTGAAAGCTATATTTTTGGAGTTATGCCCCTTTTGAACTAAGAAATTTTGTCAAAAGTTGTTTTATAAACGGACAAGACTGTTGATACCACATACGGTGCTCTTGTTATACTGTCTCAGGGTCACTCTCGTATTTCACTAGTTAAGTAACGTACGGCAGTCATTGAATTTAAGATTTTGTATTAACTGGTCCAAATTCCAGTTTAGAATTTATTCTACTATATATTTAACTAAATTTTCTTTAAATTTACTGGCTCAAAACTGATTTTCACTGGCCCGAACTAATTTTCACTGGACATGGGCCACCAGGCCAGTGCTAAATTCAATGACTGGTAGGGTTCTAAGTCTATTGATAGATCATTTGTTTTGACGTTATACAGCTTGAGCTAATACATTATTTACACATGTTAATTGTCAATAAAAGTTTTATGCTTTGAATTTACTGTATGATTACAGCCGATGGCATGGTCAGGGATGATACTATTGTAAGACCAGAGGAAGCCACGGAAAATGATCTCCGCAAAGTTCACACAGAAGCCTATATCAAGAGTTTAAAGGTAGGTTGACAAATTTTCTGTGAAAATACTAAATAGTTCATTACTTATATACTGGTGCCTCATATTTCCGTGGTACTTAACTGTTAAACACAGACAACAAAAGTTAAGAGGATACAATTCTGGAAAACAAAGTGAATATCGTAGGATAGACATGTCAATTGCATCATAGTTTATTCCATTTAATGTTTGCATGTAAGCAATTATGTATACAACATTGTAATTAACACCCATCTGCAACATAGTGAGTAAATTTGTGTTCTCATATTTCCAAGGCAATTACATTTTAACAGTTTCAAAAGCAAAACCAATAGTAAACTTTATTTATTAGTACACCTATACCTAGGCTCATCTGAAAGGGGCGATTTTCTCTTTGGCATTTATCAAGTACCTCAATGGTTCTTTAAGAAAGAAGATTTTTTTAAAAGGTATGAAATCTAAAAGAAAAATGGTGAACTATTACATAACTTTGCTCTTAATCCGAATAAAATAATTATTTTTTAGTTCTATATGTTACATTTCGATAAAAATACAATAAAATAGTAAAAGTAAAACTACTGGCAGGTTCATTAAGTCTAGGAGGCACTTTAAACTGTTTAAGCCATATACCTTGGAAATATGGGTACCTCGGAAATATGAGGCACCAGTATACTATTTCAAGGGATTTAAAAATTTTTTTTGGCTTGGAAGCTTTCGTGATTTTTATACTTTTTTTTTTCAGTGACTTTTTTATGACTTACAGATCTTTTGATTCTTTAAGTTTTACTTGTTGTAAATTTGTTCATATAAAATGTAAGAAAGTGATACATGATATCAATTTCAAAACCTCTTTGTTTTGATTTTGTTCTGAATATATATTATTATTTATCATTATTTATGCTCATGCTTAAATTTTAATTATGAAAACATTTGTTGCAAATATTCATTGCAGGTATTACTTACATGTACATTGTATATGCTAATGCTGACTTGTATTCTATATACATTGTACTCATGCAACTATTCATTACATGTTCATTCAACATTTATTACATATATACCGTCACCTTTGTGCAATAATGGGTTAAGTCCTTCTAAATAAAATAGAAGTTTACCAGTTATTGCTATAAGGTAACAAATTATGCTCAAAATCACAGAATATCATTATGATTATGTATTTATATGGTGGAAATTTAATTCATGATAATTGACATAATGCAAACATTTATGCTGTGAATATCATACATGTTCATTCTAACATTCATTAGAGATGATCTTGTATAAATTCATGCTAACATATTTGAGCCGCGTCACGACAAAACCAACGTAATGCATTTGCGACCAGCATGGATCCAGACCAGCCTGCGCATCCGCACAGTCTGATCAGGATCCATGCTGTTCGCTTACAAACCCTATAACAAGTAGAGAAACTGATAGTGAACAGCATGGTTCCTGATCAGACTGCGTGGATGCGCAGGCTATTCTGGATCCATGCTGGTCGCAAACGCATTACGTTGGTTTTGTCGTGACGTGGCTCATTTTATATCTGCTTATACAAACATTCATTATATAAAATTCATGCTAACATCTATGTTTATATATTGACTCGTTGCATGTGCAGCTTTCAAGTATAGTGGAGGGGACAGTTTTAAAGGAGGTAGTACACACTGTAGAGACTTAACAAAAAAAAAAACACCAACAATTTTGATGTTGTATGCATGCAAAGCTCAGGCACATGATCCTTTATAATTATAATAACTAACAGTAAATACCCCCAATAATTACCCGACTTCCATAAAAACATGTACTTACACATCTCATTTCTTTGTCAAGGAAGATAAGTTAGTTGATGATTTTTTTCTTCACAGAGTTATCTAACTTTGATTTCACAAGGGGTTTGGCATTTTTATTTTTAATTGATCTGATTGCACATTTATTTGATGCTATTATTAATTAATAGCACATGATTGAAATTTCTGTTTCAGCCAACTTTTGCATGTTGAAATCTTTCTATGATTTCTTTAAAAAAAAAGATATAGTGGTTTCCCAATTCTCTTTCTTTAATGACAGGATCATGTGTGTGGAGAAATTTAGGATGTTGTAAAAAAATATTTTTTATTTGTTATCATTCCCCACTTAATTCAGCTTTTATTACTGAAGTGTTTGTATTTTTTTATTGCTGATTTTTTTCCTACTTTTTTCATTAGCCATTAGCCTCTGTTATATATAATGTAAGAAACTCCAAAGAATTAGGGTGACACATGTATAAAAGGTGAGCTAGTTATAGTTATAATTACAGTAGAGGTAATTGGTTTAAACCCCTCCACTTTTACTTGACTATTTAGTATTTCAAGTAGTTATTGGAACAGTGTTGTAACTTTTAACTTGAATTTTCATGAAGTTACAACAATGTTTCTTTTAACTGTTGAACTTAAAACTAATGTAAAGCAAAGTTAGTATGTTGTTCATATATTGTGCATTATCAATTTTATTTTATCAAATTTTGTAACATTATATCATTACTTCATTTTGTAAGAGAAACTGTGTACTGCAAAATCATTATTATGCTTGGAGACACTAATTTTCATTGTTTTCATAGAGAGGTCAATCTATGAATTTAAGATCAAACAAAACTTCATATTGTCTTCTGTAAGATTATTTTGCATTAAATTATTAACATTTTACCCTTTGGTAAAAATAGACATTCCACAAATATAACAATGTACGAAAATGTTCTTTATGACAAACCAGAAACTTTCTTGCCTGTGAAATTAAGTGAATTCACAGTAGTATGGTAGATGTAGTGTCTAGGTTTTCAGGCGACTTGACTCAATGTATATTCACCCCATTTTGATCAGAACTTCAACAGCATTGATTAAAGTAAAAAAAAAATCTAACCAGATGGTAAGTGATTGCCTGAAATCAAGAAAACCAACAGGGAACATACAGAAATGAAAACATGGTTTATGATTTAAGAGCTCCAGCAAGTGGACATAAAACAACAGGGAAATAAAAATGAATATAAATTTATTTCAATATTTACTAGCCCTCTCTTATAAGTTTCCTCCGTGCTGGATTAAGTCAATATGCTATGCAGAAAATAAAAACAATTTATTAGCAGTAAAGCAGTCTAGTACAAATGTTCATAAATATATATGATTAGATAATGGCAGATTTCATTGAAATTAACTTATAAAATATCGAGATAAGATACGGTAAAAAATTGTTATTTAGCATTTATATGTCGAAGTCTCAGTACTAGACTTTACTGAAGGATAACATTTGCCCTGAACTGTTATGTTGGCAGATAAATCATAACCTGCTTGCTTTAGTTAGTTTGACTCTGATGTTGAATATAAAATTATATACATGTAGTGTCATAGCGAATGTCTATTACAATGTATTTATTACATTATTGTGTGTATTTACTATTCATCTGGGCTGTGTTTCATAGAAAGTCTTAAGTGTAATCTCAGTTCTAGGAAATAAAACCAACTTTAGGACTTACTTAAGACCGTTTTGATAAATGTTTTTACCTTCAGTGAAAGACTGTAGTTTATGATTGAATTAATTTTCCTGAGAAAAGTTGAAAAATACAATGACAGACCCTCTGATTCACAATGTGTTATTGCCCATCTGTATTGCTTTTAAGAACATAATTAGAGTCATGAAATAGAGGCCATAAGTTCTTAGAAATGCAAAATTATCTCAGTTTTGGTCTTAAGTCAGTTAAGACTGATTTCAGACTTAGGACTTTCTATGAAACCCAGTACTGGAATGTAACTGTGTGACCTCTGTATAAAGACCCTCTATACAGCAATAACCTTTTTAGCTCAACTATACGAAGTATATGGAGAGCTGTCCTACTCACCCTGGCGTCTTGATCTACTTCAAACTTCAAATGAATATTTCTTATCATTACACACATTTTGTGTGACAAGGTCCATAACTCTTGTGTGACTTTTTCCAGAATTTTTCCCCCTTGAAAGTGGAACTTATGTTAACAACAATAACTTCTTGTCATAAGAAGAAATGTATTTATATCATAATTGATTTTTCTTTCATAGTTTTGTCTTCCTTACTGCGCCCAGTATTTAATTAGTTAAGCTTTGCTGTCTCCTTTGACAGCTCTTATTACAACAATAGTAACTTTACTTCCGAAAGTAAGACTTCACAATAAAATTAACCTGTCAAGAGCATCATCTCCCACCAACAATTAATTTCTTATGTCAGTCAGTGGATATTGCTGTACAGTAGAGGTTTTACTGTAATTATTCTTTGTTGTATCATAAATTTAGAAAGATCAGTGTACTTTTTGTTATGTATTATTGATTGATTTATTGATTATTGTTGATTGTTGTTGTAGTTATCTGCTTCTCTATATTATATTCTTTATGCATGATGTCAAATGTGGTATTTAGTATTTACGTGTAATTGTATCTACTGTCCTAGGATGATAATTTGGTCTTAACGGTACATGGGAAAGTCCAAAAACGGGGTTTTCTGGATTAATATCCGATATCGTAAAAGTAAACACTTACATAATTATACTTTATACCATAATTCTTACAATATCGTTTGTGTATTACCGTTATGGCTCTGCCGGTAGATCGTAGTTATTGTAACTTTTAATGTTTTGTACTGATAGGTTCGAACCCCACGTAGTGCCATTTTATAACCACAGTTTTTACTTCTTGCTCATTTTTTATCATTATTATTTATTCAGTTTTCGTTTTCCTTTTTGTTTTCTTCTTATAATATATATTTTACAGTATATATTTATATTTTTTTATTTCTATTCTATTTTCTTTTTGTATTTTTTGATCGCAGTGTAATAAAATATTCGATCTCGTATTCATGTATGTATATGAAAAAAGGGTCAACATTGTTTTCTGAACAATTGACTGTTCTGAGGTAAAAAAAAAAATGTGTCGTACCAGTAGTCGAACTTCTGCCTGTACGGGTAAAACACATTACCGACACGGTTGCTCTACCTACTGCGCTAACAAGACATATGATAACATATAGTTTTATTTTCATTTTTATAGGTTGTGGCATTGATCTGCCTTACCTATTTTTCGCATTGTTATTGGTTTTTGTTATGTAAACAAAGGCTCAAGTTATCATCCTAGGACAGTATACCACAGTATTTAAATATATAAAATATTTTCTAAAATTCTAAGGAGTTGCAGCAATTATGTGTTAAAGTGATATCAAAATTGACAAAATGTCAAGTCAAACATTGCAGTACAAAAGTAATAGACTCTGCTTATTTTATTTACACCATAATATTTGCTGAGAATCTTCTTTCTCATATGATGATACTATATAAAAACCTAGCAGCTAGTAATCTTGATTGGCATAATATATACAACTCATAGTCTTACTAGTTTATGTATATAAAATGAGAAAATCTTTTGAAAATGTTTATATGAAATTTAATGCCCATCTGGGAATTTATCCAAATTTCTACTATGTAGTTTTGTTTGGTTATTATTTATACTGTTATATAACTTGTAGTTAAAGGTCATCCTTGAGAAATTGCTTCATTATGTTGAAGTGAGCCAAATCTTTAAGAGAAAGTGCTACTGGGCAGTGGTAGTTTATTATCTATGTATTTCTTTCATTGATACATTACAAAGATATTTAATATCTTTAAAAAATGAACTGAATTTTAAATGCATTATTTTTCTCAAAAGGATTTTTTTACAAGTTTGTTGCATGTCAATAAACAGCCAAGTATTACTAATTGGTAAATCTGGTCAGCTTGTTGTGTATATAATGACATGTGGGAGATTTTTATTTTTTCTAGTGGAGTATGACTGTAGCGGGGATCACTGAAGTTCCACCAGTAGCCTTATTACCCAATTTTATAGTACAGCGAAAAGTTTTACGTCCATTTAGGTACCAGACAGGTGGAACTATATTGGTAAATATCTTTTAGTTGCATTTTAAAAATGTTTTTAATTTTGTAATTTTCTAACAAACTAAAATTAAATTTTATTTTGTAAGTTTGGGCCTTTTTTGTTTTACGTCAAATTCGGGAATGCAGCCTCTGTAGAAAAAAACCTTTTTAAAATCAAAAATTTTCCCAGAAAAACTCTTTCCCGATAAATTTAAAATTTTGAAAGGTTACTGTTAATATTTTTTATTTCAAAAAAAAAATTCCTTTCTTCTTAATTTATACAAAATAAAATGAATCGAGGGAAAATTTTTTTAAAGTAAAAGGTGTTTAAAATTTACCAACTTAGCTACTGTGATTGAAAACTATCATTCTATTTCGTCTTACCAATTTATCACAGTGTGCTTCTGTGAGCAAATGAGTGAAAACTATCATTCTATTTCATCTTACCAATTTAGCACAGTGTGCTTCTGTGAGCAAATGATTAAAAACTATAGTTCTATTTCGTCTTACCAACTTAGCACAGTGTGCTTCTGTGAGCAAATGATTGAAAACTATAGTTCTATTTCTTCTAACCAACTTAGCACAGTGTGCTTCTGTGAGCAAATGATTGAAAACTATCATTCTATTTCGTCTTACCAATTTAGCACAGTGTGCTTCTGTGAGCAAATGATTAAAAAACTATAGTTCTATTTTGTCTTACCAACTTAGCAGTGTGCTTCTGTGAGCAAATGATTAAAAACTATAGTTCTTTTTCGTCTTACCAACTTAGCACAATGTGCTTCTGTGAGCCAATGATTGAAAACTATCATTCTATTTCGTCTTACCAACTTAGCACAGTGTGCTTCTGTGAGCAAATGATTGAAAACTATCATTCTATTTCGTCTTACCAACTTAGCACAGTGTGCTTGCTGTGAGCAAATGATTGAAAACTATCATTCTATTTCATCTTACCAATTTAGCACAGTGTGCTTCTGTGAGCAAATGATTGAAAACTATCATTCTATTTCATCTTACCAATTTAGCACAGTGTGCTTCTGTGAGCAAATGATTAAAAACTATAGTTCTATTTCGTCTTACCAATTTAGCACAGTGTGCTTCTGTGAGCAAATGATTAAAAACTATAGTTCTTTTTCGTCTTACCAACTTAGCACAATGTGCTTCTGTGAGCAAATGATTGAAAACTATCATTCTATTTCCTCTTACCAACTTAGCACAGTATGCTTCTGTGAGCAAATGATTAAAAACTATAGTTCTTTTTCGTCTTACCAACTTAGCACAATGTGCTTCTGTGAGCAAATGATTGAAAACTATCATTCTATTTCGTCTTACCAACTTAGCACAGTGTGCTTCTGTGAGCAAATGATTGAAAACTATCATTCTATTTCGTCTTACCAACTTAGCACAGTGTGCTTCTGTGAGCAAATGATTTAAAACTATAGTTCTATTTCATCTTACCAACTTAACACAGTGTGCTTCTGTGAGCAAATGATTAAAAACTATAGTTCTTTATCGTCTTACCAACTTAGCACAGTGTGCTTGCTGTGAGCAAATGATTGAAAACTATCATTCTATTTCGTCTTACCAACTTAGCACAATGTGCTTCTGTGAGCAAATGATTGAAAACTATCATTCTATTTCGTCTTACCAATTTAGCACAGTGTGCTTCTTTGAGCAAATGATTGAAAACTATCATTCTATTTCGTCTTACCAATTTAGCACAGTGTGCTTCTGTGAGTAAATGATTGAAAACTATCATTCTATTTCTTCTTACCAACTTAGCACAGTGTGCTTGCTGTGAGCAAATGATTGAAAACTACATGTATCATTCTATTTCGTCTTACCAACTTAGCACAGTGTGCTTCTGTGAGCAAATGATTTAAAACTATAGTTCTATTTCGTCTTACCAACTTAACACAGAGTGCTTCTGTGAGCAAAATGATTAAAAACTATAGTTCTTTTTTCGTCTTACCAAACTTAGCACAGTGTGCTTGCTGTGAGCAAATGATTGAAAAACTATCAATTCTATTTCGTCTTACCAAACTTAGCACAGTGTGCTTCTGTGAGCAAATGATTGAAAACTATAGTTCTATTTCTTCTAACCAACTTAGCACAGTGTGCTTCTGTGAGCAAATAATTGAAAACTATCATTCTATTTCGTCTTACCAATTTAGCACAGTGTGCTTCTGTGAGCAAATGATTAAAAAAACTATAGTTCTATTTTGTCTTACCAACTTAGCAGTGTGCTTCTGTGAGCAAATGATTAAAAACTATAGTTCTTTTTCGTCTTACCAACTTAGCACAATGTGCTTCTGTGAGCCATGATTGAAAACTATCATTCTATTTCGTCTTACCAACTTAGCACAGTGTGCTTCTGTGAGCAAATGATTGAAAACTATCATTCTATTTCGTCTTACCAGGTGTTTTGGGGT